AATATTATAATTACTGAAGATTCAGGTCTAGTATTATCATGTGGTCACGCATATCATCATATATGCTTTAGCAGAGACAAATTCAAGTGTTTGCATTATCTGGATTATATAAATTCTGGTATTGATAAACACGTACAATCACTCTTGGATCGTTTACGTCGTCTTAATTCAATTAATGAACCTGAAAATAAAGAACCTGAACCTATTCCTGAAGATGATCATAATGATAAAGAATCTATTGATGATATCTCAGTTTCCTGGGATATTGCAATATGACATTTTCTTCAATTGTAATAATCGAATTATAACGATAATATATCTGGTAATTTAATTGGTTTATTTAATAAAAAAAAGTATTAAAATATTGTATATATCTAAAATACAATTTTAATTAAAGTTGATATAAAAATTATAATATTAAATATGCTTTGATTAGGCGGATTGATGTTTAATTTAATTGATCAATTATTACATATTGACTCAAAATTTGAGTCGTCAAATTAGCCAATCATATGAATTTCTTCCTATGTCCCTATATTATTGTGGATTTAAAGTCTCTGATATAGGACAATGCCAATATAAAATTTGAGATGATAGTATTAGGCCAAGGCATTTTCTAAGCACAGATAATGCGGATGAGATAGAAGCAATACTCTTAGATCGTGAAGGCCATTCCTTACATGAATTCATTGATGGGGTTGAGCCACTCCAGCCTATCATAGATTTCGATTTGCCACAAGAAGTACTTGATACTATTGAGCCTAAGCTAACACGTGAAGAGGTACTAGATTTACTTATTCTTGCTTTAGAAAACATGTTTGGAGATATTCCCGAAGTGGAATCCTAAAACTATAACTATTGCCAGCAGTAGTGATGCAAAAAAAATGTCTCTCCATATCTCGACTTTTGGTATAAGACTTCCAAATATTGCTCAAGTTGCATTGTTTACTGAGCTCGTTCGTAAAAAAATTCCGGTGACTCTATAGGCAAATAGTATTATTGATAACATAGCGAACAAACAAATATTCTCCTTGTGAATGATTGGAACACCTAAGTTTGATGAAAAGACTAATACTCATATACAGGTAAAAAAAGCCATATATCTGAAAGATGGATCTGTCTTTGATTTCATGATTCGCCCGCATAATGATGAGTTAGAAGTCGTTGACAGTCCTCACTTGGCCATTCTGAAGGCAGAAATAGGAAGGTGTTCTAGTATAAATAATGTCACCACTGATGCTAAACTCGAACTAGTAGAGACATTACTTTAAGAGGCTAGTATCGAAGGGTATAGTCTCTCATATCCATCTGAAAATTTTCCTGACAAATTTCCACTATCACGTCTTCTCATTGCATTGCCTAATATGTGATCGGGAATATACCAGTGAAAATGCATATATCATACGAAATAAAAAATCTTATAACTTTTTCTGCTATCAAGTAAACCAAGATAGGCAACCCGGATCCAGGCCTTCAAAAAAACTTACTATTAGTAAACGGTCTTGGATCGAGAAAGGAAACTTCCAACTCCAGTAAAATTAGAACAATCCAGAATTACAAATTCAAAAGATCAATTTGTATTTTGGGACTTATTACGCATATGTACTTCAGGTAGAAAATTCTCCCATGCTGAAATTTATGAAGCTATTCAAGCAACAGTTACCTGCGTGCAAGGAACTTCGAAATTATGGTTTCTTAAACATAAAGATACAGAAAATGGCATTTTCTTTGATATAGGACCTAAACTAAAGCTTGCTAATTACAAGATTAATATAATCGAATATGGTGGGAAATTAATAAAGTTAAAATCATTGATAGACCAAGCAGATACTAAAGGTCTAATACTTTATGAAGATTATAATTTCCTTCCATACCCACCAAATGCCTCCCAACTAGTTACTGATTTCTTCAATCTTTTCCTAGGATTTTTGGCTAAGCCAGCACCAGAAATTAATAAAGAAATTATGGATCCAATTCTTTGGCATATGAAAAATATTATTAGTGATGAAAATGAGAAGCTTCATAAATATCTTTGGAAATGGTGGGCGTATTTAGTGCAGAAGCCAGAAAAAAAGCCTCAGTCAATCTTAGTACTAAAGTCTAAATTACAGCAGTGTGGAAAAAATATTATCACCGACTTGACTTTATTGGTGATAAAGTTCTAGGAGAACATCTCCATTATGCTACATCAGATTTGGAAAAAATTCTTGGGCAATTTAATAATGCCATCCAAGCTCGAAAGCTTATTGTTATGAATGAGACTGGAATGTCTAGCGGGAATTGGCATAGATTTAATGAACATTTCAAATCTCTTATAACAGAAGGAATGGGAACTATAGAACGTAAAGGTCTTGAATCTAAACGAATAAAAGATTTTGCTGGGTATATGATTACAAGCAACCAGGATGCTCCACTCAAAATAGATATAGGGGATTCTCGTGTAGTCTGTTTTGATGTCTCTTCACAATGTAGAGGAAATACAACATATTTTAAGCGACTAGAAAAGTTCTTGACCACCCCGATGCACCAGGAGTAGTTATAAGATATCTTCTTAGTCTTGATCTCTCAGATTTTGAACCACAAGAAATTTCTGTAACTAAAATAAAATCAGATATAATGCGAGACCAGCTACCTAATCCCATTCGATTTATAATTGACTATATTGTATTTTAAGCTGAGGATAGTGTAGTTGAGTTAAGTAAAAAAGCATTATATCAGAAGTACCTTAAATGGTGTGAAGAGGATGGCGAAAAGCCATTTTCTAATAATATTACTGGAAAGAAATTCTCAGATATTGGTATTGAGAGCAAACAAGCACGAACATGTGGTAGAAGAAGGGAATTGCAGTATATTCTCGACCGCTCCAAGATCGTAGCCAAGCTCTGTGAATCTGGTCTGAGCGATATTGAAGAATTTTCTGATATACCTCAATCAGACTTACCTAAAAATGAGACAGCAGACATTCCTATATTCAATGTATCAGAAATTATTCTCCTAAAAATAATCCTGTTTCAACCAGAAAAGAGTACACCTCCATCTAGAACTAGTAAAGATAAGAAGGCAGATAAACAGAATGAATTAAACCAGAACCTTTTTGACTATGTGGGAGAAGATAGTCATGCTCTAGTCATCTCAACATCTGGAACATCTGAAATATCCATGACTTCTAAAACACCTGAGCTAGTAATTGATGATCCTGGGACTAGCAAGCTTTCCGATCCCAAATCTATCAGTGAAGCTGTGAATATACCTCCTAAAGAGATCCCAACCGATTCTCCCAAGTAAGGTTGCTAGACGAAATCAAGAGTTTAGACAGACGTCTAAATGGTAAAAGTAAAACTTGGTTTAATTATATTAAAACCTTATTAAAAAATCTGCGAAATTTGAAAAAAGGTAAAACTATATCAAAGCTTATAAAAATGGCAAAACTATATCAAACACTTAGTAAAAATTTAGCGAAACTAAAGGTTTTACCGTTTTTCCAAATCCAAAATGAGTTTAGACAAGCAACCTTACTCCCAAGCCTATAAATCAATTATTATCTGCCATTCTCCTATCCAGGACTCAGCGAGAAGAGCGTCTTATGAAAAAAGCAGTCAAGCTAGGTGAGAATCCAGATACCTTTGTGACTATCACTGAAAAGGATCAAGTTGATTTTATTGCATTCTGTGATAGAATGGAAACTGACTCTCAAATGTGTAGTTATGCAATAAAGTTGGAAGAAGATTCCAATGAATATATGGACATGAAAGTACGGGAAAGATTGATAAGAGAAGAAATTATCTGTCATGATCTTGAGAATGATGGAGTCACAACCTTGTGGCTTGATTCTGATGAGAAATGGCAAAAAACAATAAGCATACTTTAAGAGAATGGTATGCTTTGGTAATTGATCAAGCAGTTGATTTAGTATATGGATAAAATATTATTTGTAAGTTAGAATGAAATGTTACCAATTATTAACAACTTCTAATCAGACTTAATTGAATCTCCTATTTGAGTTTTCGCAAGAGCTAATAGTCTGTATCTCAATTTTCTATATCGATCTGTGTTACTATATGGTGCTGTTAATAAATAATGGATATTATCATAAGAAAATATTTGATTACAATTTAGCCAAAATCTTTCAGTTTTCTTTTCACCTGTAACAGGATCGAAATTATTAAAAGTGATCGAAAAACGTGATAAGAGTCTGTCTTTGGTTACTTTGACTTGAACTTCATTATTTGGTTCTTCCAATAAATAACAAAAATCATCAAGAGTCAATTTTTTGACATCTTCTATTAGCGGGACTGGCTCCCGAATAGTGTTAGCTTATTATTTCCTAAATACAGATATAATAAGCGTGTAGCTAAAGGATTTTCTAGTAAACTTTTTTTATGAGCGTCAATATCATAAAATAAAGCAAGCTCATAACCCAATGGACCTATATAATTATATGCCAATTTTGAGTGCACTGTAATTGCTTGTTGATATCTCTCTGATCAATATCAATTGTTTTAATTTTGGGAGGACTACGCATAGGAATGAATATTTCTTAAAAGATTTTCATGATAAATAATCATCATTAATAAGTTAATTTAAAATATAAAAAATCGGATAAAAATTAAATTTGAAAGTGGCCTCAACGAGACCTCTACATAGGTTATATATTTTTCACCTATCTGACCTTTCACCAAATATGAACGGGTTCTAGAGGGATCACGTAGTAAATTATCGGAAATATTTTTTTTGAATTGAACTTTTTTATGCGTAGTATAATCTAACGGTTTAGTATAATCTAATAGTTGATCTATAATCTCTATTTATATTATCATGTCTGCAATTATCCCTTAGATTGTCTAGCAGGCAAATTTGCCTGTGAAATTAAAAATAATTGTTAATTTCTTTATAAAATATTAAATATTAATTTTAGTAATATTATTACTATATAAAA